AAGATGTCGAGCAAAATCATAATGCTGAGTTTTGATCGATATCTTGATTGTTTGAACCTCATCGAGATCTACGTGTGGTCCAAAGATAGAGACTAAATTATATAATCTTATGATTATGTTCCTTCATTAGTTTGCAAGCCTTTTTGTGATGTCATTGTAAAGGAACAGGATAGGCAAGCATACAAAACATTTTGTGAGATTTATATCCGGTCGAACCTGGGAGAATTTAAATAATTTCGACTGGTTCCTTTAGTGAGTTTGCTGAATTCCCCATCAATTGGATTTCAATTGTCGAGACCAAAGAATTGATCAAATCTTGCAATGAGGCTCCTGGCAGACTTCGCTGTACTCTGATTGATAGAGTTGGTTTCTGGATGGTTTGATAAAATTATTTTAATATGTAATGTTTTCTAATAGTTCAATGTACTTAGACGATCAACTGAGCACATCCAACCGTGTATAATAAATTACATTTTATTCTTTAAAAAAATATCGTCTACGATCGTCTAACTGTAGATAGTAGAAAGCAAGAAAACTTCAAATGAATCAGACACATCTTGAGGGTGGGTGTGGGTACGTTTATTCTATCTCATACACACCGATACTCTCAATTTGTTTTGAAAAATCTGGAAAGAATGAGTTAAACATTAACGTCAAAGCATGTATGTGACAGCATGAACACGTTAAAATTAGTAGAAACTGCAAAATAATTTAGTAGAAACGGCTAAATTGAGCAGAATAACAGACGCATTTTAACGAGTTCATCCATGCTGAACTCGTTAATTTGCATTCAAATTTCATTAAAACGATATTTTAATAATTTCTTATTTGAACTCGTTTTTCTTTGAAGATGTTATCTGCCCGGGTAGTAACTCATAATGGTCAGTTACTCAAGATATAAATAACTATATTTCCTCGCAAAGTGTTTTTAATGTTCACACTCTCAGGAATATTTTTACTTTAGATATAATCAATGTAAAGTGTTGAATATATCATTCTGTAGGTAATTAAGAACAATGTATAGTTTGAAATATAAGTAATATTGAACATTTTTCTTTTCAATGTGATCGAAACATGAGAGATTTTTAAGTGTCAGACTGATATTCATTGATAATAATTGTATTAAAAAAAAGCATCATCATGAATATACTGTTTGGGAAATTCCCTGTACGTTTGATTATTGAATTGTCAAATAGCGCCATCTATTAAATTTTATTTTTCTATTGGTTAAACAACTTCATCCATTGTCGTCATACGTACATTATAGTTGTCTTTAAACAACCGTAACTCTGCAAGGCATCATTGATTTTTTTAAACATTCATATTAATGTTGTCTTTTTATTGATCATTGTAATTTACAATTTATTTTTCGTTTTTTTTAGTTCTTATCAATGACATCTTCTCCATCGCCTTTTTCTAATAATAACAAATTACAAGTCTTACCACAACCAGTAAGTCAATTTAGAAAGAAAATTTATACTTAACTAGGAATTTTTCTCTTCCTAGACAACATTATTATTTACTCAATCAGCTAATAATAATTTAACTATAAATAATATTGGTAATACAACACAAAATATTCGACAAACAAATATACAAAATGGATCATTTATTCAACAACAACAATTATCTGGTGGAACAATAACAACACCAACAAGTATTGTTCGTCTTAATCAACCTTTACAAACACAAAATCAATATCAACCTCATACTGTTTGGACAAATAATACTTCACAATTATCACCGAAAGTTCAATATTCACCAACAATAAAAAATGGTAAAATTATTAGAAAATGAATTTACAAAAAAAAACAATTCTTTTTTTTTCTCTTCTATTAGAACCAACGACACCTGGTTTTCAACAACAATCTTCAATTTTACCAACGAAAGTTGTTACACAACCAGTTGTTCGACAAACAGTAGTAGCACCACAACAAGCTCCGAAATTTACTGATGCTCAAATAAGTGATTTCGTTGGAAAATGTCGAACATTTTTAACAACATTACTTAAACTTGCTGAAAAACAAGCACCAGAAAAATTACCTATGGTTCGATCTTGTATACAAGATCTTTTAGAAGGAACAATTGATCCAGAATCATTTACACAACGATTACATACACTTTACAAATCACAACCACATACATCACTTGTACCATTTTTCAAAGTAAATTTCTTATTAATGTTTTATCATGATATTAAAATCTTTCATTCATCAATAATCGATCGAATGAACTAAATTTTCTCATACTAGTTCATCATCCTCGGAAAATCCAGTTATTTTATTGGTTACTAGCTCTAGATATTTATCTTTCTTGGAATATTCCATGTTTCGTTTTCCTTCCAAATATTTCAGTTTGATAAAATTTTTCTTCGAAAATGAATATTTAGGAAGTATGAATCATTGGGAAAAAAACCGTAGGAATAAATAGAAATGAGATGAAATTATATAATTCATGTGAAATAACGTTATAAATGATTAGAAACAAACATTATATTTTAAGTAATAATTATTTCTTTTAGTTAGCATTGCCATATATGCGTCAAATTGTTAAAAATACTTTTGGTCAACCAATAACTATCGAATTATTAGAAAAATTAAATTTACCATCGAATAAAAGCAATACAATTGGTAATATTTCAACAACACCAACAACGTCTCGTGTTGTTGTAAATCCATCACTTTTAAGTCAACAACCAACTTCTGGTGTACAACAACCATTATTGTATACAACAGTACAACCACAACAAAAAATTAATCTTTTACAACAAACATCTCAATCATCATTAATTGGTTCAACCGCATCATTACTTGGACAACAACAACAACAGCAACAACAAGCTCGAGCACAAATTGTTAGTTCAATTCATTGATTTTTTTTCTCGTGCAATTTTATTTTCTCTGCATAATACTTTTAGAGTATAACGGGAATTCGACCAATTGTTGCATCAGTTTCTCCATCGTCGAATACTAATCTTCTTACTGGACAACCACAAATTCAACCAATTACACAAACAATTATTCAACAATCTGATTCATTTTTACAAAGAACATTTCTATCACCATCAACAGCACTTCAACAACCACAGATTATCACTGTTAATCATCAACCTATTCGAACAGATATAGTTACAGGTCAAAAGACATCATTAACTAATATCTCTTCTCTTCAACAACAACAACCGCAAATTCAATTACAACCAAGAATAGCACTTAAGTTAGTCATTTTCATATATATTTAATGTAATAATCTATTTTCTTTTTTTTAAGAAATGATGATGATACATCTGATGATATATTGGGAAATAGTGGTTTATTGACTGCATCATCTGGAGTTGTCGATGATCGTCATACTCGTCATATCACTCATGATAATCGATTGTTATCGACAATGGTTTTACGTCGACGTTTAGATCATTTGAGTAATTAAAATCAATCAATCATTTTTTTTTCTGATCATAATTTTTCATTTAGTTAAAAAAGATAAACGATGGGAAGGTATTAATATGACTTTACATGATGATTCTGTTCTTGCACTTATTTCAAATGCAACTGAAGAAAGACTTAAATGTTTAATTGAAAGTATTAAAACAATTGCACAACAACGAACGGCTCTTTCTTCTCAAGTAATATTTAGTTAGAAATTTTTTTTGTTTATTAGATTTATTTTGTAATAGACGGAACGTTCTCAGATGGAAGAACAAAATAATAATGAAACGATGTTATCTTTTGGAAAAGGAGAAAAACGTAAATTTGAAGAAAATATCAATCAATCTGAACGGATATCTTCTAATCAACCAACAACTATGTCGAGTTTTATGAATAGCAATAAAAAATGTGTATGTTTTTACTTATGAATGATTTATTTAGTATTATTTTCGTTTTTTTATAGAGGTTAGTTAAACGTAAATGTCAAGCAAATCTTCGTGATTTAATAGTCATTATGGAAAGAGATAAACATCTTAAACGATCATCACTTCTTTTCAACGCTCTTGATAAAGCATCTTAAACAAAAGATTTATTTATGTATTTCACATGGTTTTACATGTTGAATAGTTTAATCTAGATACAAAAACATACTTTATATCTTGTTTATGTATATGTTCTTATTTATTGTTTCTTTTTCTGTATATTTCTGTCATTGTCATTTGATATTTTCTCCTATTTTTTTTTTCTTTTGTATACGATATATCTTTATCTTTCCTTACAGTGAAAAAGAAGGATTGCGCTTTGATAAAAACATGAATGAATGATTGGATTTATTCTTTTCAATAATTAAAATGCAAGAACTGCATTCATCATTTAGTATATCGCTGAAAATGAAGATCTTATACTAGATAGAATATTTATATACATTTAATAATCAAAAAGAATTAGATTATTCGATGAAATTGTTTGAATGATATGAACAATTTTAAATACAAATCAGATATCCACTTTGAAGCGTTTGCTTTCTCATTACCAGTGTAAGACATAAGCAATTGTATTTAGATTTTTTGATCTTATTGTTGAAAATATAATTCTTGATTATTCTTCGTCACGTTTGAGTGAACACTAGTGTCAATAGCCATTCTAGGAGGCAAAAAAACATCATGAAACTTCGTTTTTGCCTAAAGATATTGTATAAAAATATCAGTCAAATAAATGGATAAAAATAATGAAGAGATGGAATTTACTGGAAAAGAATCCATGAGAGACTGTTCTATGATGAATATCAGGTTCAAGTCGTTAGAACTGACATCCTTAGTTATTATTATAAACTAAACGTAAACTCATAGTTTTTGATGAATTATATGATTTATTTTCTATTCTCATCGAGAAATGATAAATACAATCAAAGTAAGAGTAGAAATTAAGTATAATTATTCAGGGTGATAAGACCAGAGTATATTTTTCAAAAGTTACAATGCAAGACTTGTCGCTACCTTATGAGCAATAAATTAATTAGCAAATTATTTGTAAAACATACAACATGAAAACTTTGTTTATATCTAAATGTAGAGGTGCGTGTATAATTGACAATAGATAGTTGCTATCTTTTTTAATTTCAAATATAATTTTTTTTAAATATATAATCACGGGGTCTACGAAAAATGATCGAACGAAAATTGATCGATACGAAAATTGGTCTACGTGAGAATAATCGACTTAATTGAAACGAAAATAACAAGCTGAGAATGTTTCTTTGTTTATATAAATAAATTAAATAATGCTATAAAAAAAATAGAGAAAAATAATCCATAAATCATACAATATTCTGTAAATGAAACATTTTCTAATGCAATCAACTATAGTGCACGTCTTCGTCATCTTAGCATGTATCCACTACTTACTCTTTTAATGCAACTAGATAGTCTTGCTCATAATTTCTGACTTGTTCTTTTCTTCTAAATGTAGTTCGTATTAATTTATGTGTTTAATTGAATACAGTTGTAGTTGTTATCTATACAATAAATATATTCTCAAGAATAAACATATCGGTTATTTTTCGTGCGGACTAATTTTCGTATCGATCAATTTTCGCTTTCTCGTTTCTACTATCGATAGTATCATGAAAAAAACGTTTTTAACGTATTAACATATAGTAATTGTATGACATGAAAATATTCATTCTTTTTCATCTATAGGAGTCACTTCTTTATTTGTTAAAGTAATATTCTATCTTAAGGACGATTGTTCAACCTTATATAATGTTGACTTTCAATGACACATACTATTTCATATGACAATTGCATGTACCTTTTGTTCTTGTAATATAGATCCTTTGTTTAAATGAAAATTTAACATTATTATATAATCTATGTACTAGAGAATAAATACTGAATTTTGTCTAAATTCTTCTTTATTGATATTAAAGAGTAAATCAAGATTTTTTTTCTAATATAAAAGCTAATTGTAAAATCAACATAAAGTTTATTGGGTCAATATCATTTTGGTTGTTCATTCATAATCAAATACTATTATGTTATACATCCATTGATATGATATTGTGTTTACTCTTTAACCTCTTCTTTTATTCATTGTTCATCAAAAGCTAACACATGCTCAAAATAACGTGATGAGTAACGTTAGATATTATACTATTCTTTTGCCTCATGCTTGAATAATTCTATCATTCTTTCTTTTCTATATACATATATATTCATATTTGATTTTCATTTCGTATTGACTCACATTATTGAACGTTAAAAAACAATGCTGAACGCTATACCAGATAGACGTAATGTAGATGATAGAAGCGAAGTATTTCTGGCACCTAACGAAGAAATTCATAGTGAACAAAAAGATGAAACTGAAACAGAAGAAATTTGTGCAATTCATGCAATAGTTGACTTAGGTGGTCGACGCAAATCATCTATGAGTATCAGCAAAAGTGATTCATCTTCATCAAATAGTACTGAACTTCCAAAAATAAAGTCAACAGTTGATATGGGTAAATTATTATTTTTATTTCTTATATATTGAGTATTTTTGAGGTTTTTATATAGAAAAAGAATTATTTACAAACATGAAAGAGGAAATATTTTCTTCATTGATGCATAAAATAGATTTAGTCTATTATATTATTCTGAAATGAATTCTACAAACAAATTTCTGTCAGATCTTTTTAAAGGTTCACAAGAACATTATATATATCTAAATGAATTATTAGTAATCATTTATTTATGCTTTTTATTTCATCAATAGTTCCACGTCCTATATTTGATGGTATTCGTTTGGATTCTAATAGATTAAATAATCCATGGTTTCGTCTATTAGTTGAATGTGTTGCTGAATTATTCGGCACAACTATTCTTGTTTTATTCGGATGTTCAGGCATTGCTCAATTTACTTTATCACGTGGTGTACTTTCAAGTTTTCTATCAGTTAATTTTGCGTTTGGTTTTGGCGCATTAATTGCTGTTTATGTTGCTGGTCCCATATCAGGTATATTTCATCAAATCAAATCAATCTAAATATATCTTATCATTTTTCAGGTGCACATCTTAATCCGGCTGTATCAATTGCAATGTTAAGTTTACGTTCAATTACACCATTACAATGTATTACATACATGCTATCACGTATGCATATATAAACAGTATATTTAGGACATTGATTTTTTTGTTTTAGAATTTATTGGAGCATTTATTGCCGCTGCATTAGTATTTGGAACGTATTATGATGCAATTAATAAATTTGATGGGGGTGTAAGACAGGTAAATATTTTTGGTTTTTGTTATTTGTTAACAATGATAAATATTAGGTAAGTGGTGATAAATCAACTGCTGGAATATTTGGAACATTACCTGCACAAGGTACTAATCAAGTATCTCTTTTCTTTGATCAAGTTCTTTCAACAGCTCTATTACTCATTGCTCTTTGTTCATTAGCAAATAAACGAAATAAACTGGTAGCAAATGCTCAAATTCCTCTAGCTGTTGGATTTATTATTGTGGCTATTGGTGTTTCATTTGGTAGATAAAATAGTTATCAAATGAATAAAAAAAACTGTTTTTTTCTTCTTCTTAAGGTTATAATTGTGGTTTTCCAATAAATCCAGCACGTGATCTTAGTCCACGATTATTTACTTTTTGTGTTGGTTATGGACGTGAAGTATTTTCTGTTGGTAATTATTATTTTTGGATACCATGTATTGGTCCTATATTTGGAGCATTGATTGGTGCATGGACTTATCATGGTTATAGTAAATTAATGAAAATATATATTGGAGAAGATGAGAAAGAAATAGCTCGAGCTCGATATCAACTTGATTTTCAAAATATTTCACGGTTGTAATTAACGTTTGATGGATGTAAATATATTCAGATGATGTGATGTTTTCAAATAAACATACCAATAATTAGATAGAAACTATAACTGTGTTATGCCTTTTTTTTTAAACTTCCATAAGTGAATGTTTAGTTTAGTGTAAATCTTGATTAGTCGTAAAAAATTGTTTTCAATAAAATATATGGATTTTCATTTAAGTTTTTCCGTAAAAGGTGTGGGCTTCATCTCACACTCACATTCATCCTCAAATGTATTGAAAGAAAACAGTTGGAAATTATAGGTATTCAATAATAAGATCTCAATAGTAATTTTATTTACACATACATGCATATTTTTACTATGAAAAATTATTTCAAAGATAGAACATATTAGCATGCAAGAGTGATATACCACCTAAAATATACGAAAGAACACTATCAACCATAAACACAAGTGCTGAATAACCATTAAGTTCAATTCGATCAAGTATTTGAATTAATGTTAATGTCATAGCAATGCCTGAACCAAAGAAAGTTAATGGTACAAGAATGTAACATTGATTTTTATAATCCAATGTTGTTGTCATTAATATAAATGATGAAAGTGTACTTATTGTTAAGAATATAATAGAGAATACAGCTAATATTGTAACCGATCGATCTAATTCTTTTCTATCACAACACACTGCATTTGAACATTGTTGAAATAAACCTGTTCGATTTGTAATTGAATTTTCATATTTAACATTCCAATTATTTGTTGAAATTGCTAAAATAGTTGTACTTAAAATAACTGTCGCTATAATAGCAATAAGTAAATCAATAGTAACTTTTTGATTTGTGAATGTGACCATGTTTAAAAGAAATGGTAGAATAATACTGATTGATTTTCTTTTATGGAAGCTTTTGAAATATGATATACGAACTGTCTGTTGTTATTCACATCATTAGATCTATGTAAATGACTCAAATTACGATATTTACAATAACGAATTGATGTAAATTCAAGGTTATGATTACCAGTTTCATATGTCATATCAAACGACGTAATACGTTTAAGATTCAAAACTTCCTCAAAAAATAATTCAGAGTCTATTACATTATAGTAACGAATCCAGCTTTGAATCACTATGAAATATCTATGGACATTTCTACTATAGTTTCATCTCGAAATCGAAGCCTTCATAGAATTAATTCTTCATGATTTTTTCGAGAAAAATTGAATTTTTCACTTTTTTTTTATTCAGATTCAATCTGTTCGAATAGTATGAAAAAAATAACATAAACAAAATGAAAGACAACAGTAACAATGAAATATACTCATAAACATATTTTAAATTTAATATCGTTTTTTGGTTTCATCTAACTGTTCTTTTCCAATATTGGAATCATATTGCTTTTCGTTGCACTTCAATATCACAAAAACAAAAACACTAAACGTAAATAACATGAAAAAAACAAAGAAGAACAAAAAAAAAGGTTCTTCTTTGGGGTATTTTCCTATCTTCAATCAAAGACTATATACAAAATATGTAGAAAACTATTTAAAAAAAAATATAATATATGAGATTAATGTGGTTTTTCAACTTGTGTACTATAATTTTGAATACGTTGTTCGAAATCTTCCATGGAACAATCAATTGGAATTGACTAAAATTATAAATAGAATTGATATTACAAAAAGAAAATGGTTAAAATCGATTTTTACAAACCTTTCCAGAAAGATTAAGTAGTTCGGTTACTTCGGTTTGTAAACGTTGAGCTAATGTACGCCAATGTGCTTCATCAGCTTTCCGTTGTTCAACAATCTAAAAACACAATCGATTAATGAATTATAGAAAAAATTTCAGATTTACTTTTGTCATTTTTTCTCGATAAGATTGCATAAAAACTCCTACATCAAATCGACTAAGATCATCATAATTCATTGATGTTACTTGTTCACGTGTTAATTCCCAATCAGGTGGTAACATAAACTAAATAATATTTGATAGTAAGAAAAACAAAATTAGTTATTTAAATAAATTTACTTTAATTAAAGCTTTAAATTTCTTTGCAATAGTAAATAAAGGTTCATTTTCATTTGTATTCGTTTCATCAATCGATGATCTCGTTGTTGTTGATGGTGGTGGAGTACCCACATAAGACCATGCTGATGATTTATAACTGAATGAATAATCGAATTCAGGTGATGGAAATTCATCAAAACGCATTTTAAATATGCCACGTTTATCATTTACATTTATAACTTGACCAGGACGTCGAGCACCTTGATACATTGCTGATACACGTGCACCTATTGTTGGAGGTGGAAGAGGACCAACTGTAATTATTTCTGACTGATCAATATTTTCAGTATCATTATCATCATCAAGTATTTGTACATAATTGGTTGATGTGACAGAATCTAATAATGATGTTTGTTGATTATTTGAACGTGATGTCTAGAAAAGAATATTATCCATTAAAATCTTTTCAATGAAGTTTACATAACGAACAATAGGCTATTCCAGTGTGGTAACGCTTTATGTATCTAACTTAAAACCATCTCAGTCGAAGTCGTGAGTCTTATGGTCAGTAGTATATCTGAATTAAACTATGAGTGTATGTAGAATCCAAATTTTTCTTAATATCCCTATTGATGATTTATTTTCTTATTTAAATGTATATCAATCTTTGAAGACATACTTGTTCAGTAGTTAATAAGGAAGTTTCTTCTTCTTCGTCGTCGTCGTCATCATCGTCATTAGTAGTATCATGAGTTTTTATAATACGTCGTTTTATTTTCTTTTTCGGTTTTGCTTTTGTTGATAATGAACGAGATGTCGAAATAGAGCGTTTTTGAGAATTTGTTGTTGATGATGATGATGACGATGAAGCATTACTTAAATGAGTCGATAGTTTTGAAGTCTAAAGATGATCAAGAAACATTATATACATAGATATACATTTAAAGTATCTATTTACAGCATTCAATGTTGTTGATGAAATTTCAGCATTTGATATACGTTTATTATTTGTTGAAGATCGAGTTAATGGTGAAGGTGCTCGTGATAATACACGACTTTGATTATTTATTTCTTGAGACTTTTGTTTTAGTTCACCTTCTGGTATACCTTCAAGTTTTTCATTTAATAAACATCTGAAAAAATTATTTCTTATTATGATTAAATCCAAATCTATTTTTAGAATACATACGAATTATTAAGAATATCAGTATTATTAGAACATTGCCATGATTCAAGTTGTGCTTGTGTTAATGGCATTGTATTAGTAGAATAAGGTAAACGTCGCCATTTTAAACATTTATTACATTGAATAAGCATAGGGACAGCTACTTGGCGACGTTTAATTGCTTCAGAATCATTGGATGGTGGTCGATCAAGTTGATCATCTCGATAACCTTTAAAATATCAAATAAAAATATTCAATATTAATAAAAATCTAATTTACCATAAGTTTCCCAAAATTCTTTAATATAATGTTCCACGCCAGTATCAGTCCAATATTGTCGCATATATTCTCCTATATTTTTAAGTAAAAAATGATATTCTTTTTCATCAGCAAATGATTGTTTATTATGTGTAGGTTCAAGTACTATTGAAGGAACATCAACAATACCAATAACACCACGGCAATATCTATCAAAACAAGAATTAAATGAATTTATTAAATAATTAAATAAATAAAATTTACAAAGTTTTTTTATTTGGTTGTCCAATTTTTTCATACATTTTAATAAGTCGTCCACAATTATAAACGAAAACTCCATCAGCTGCACGATTTTGTATATTTAATCCGAATGTAAATGTTAAAATTTTTGTTGTATTTAATTCCGATTTTTTCCTTAAAAGTCCAGTACGTAAACGATTTGCAATATCTTTTAAATCAGCTGCATGAATCTGTAATTTTCTTAAGCGTGTACGTTCATCAATTGTATATGTTATACCCAATCGTTGTTGTATATCATGAACTTGCGAATCAGCTTCACGTATACGTTCATCTAATGATTCAAGTTCTTGTTCACACTTTTTTATTTCTTGTTCGGAACGTGTTTTAAAACGTGTAGATTTAAATTGATATTGACGAGGTTTATATAATGTATGTGGTAATCTTTTTGTTATAACACGTCGTTGTTGAATTGTTATACGCATACGTGGTTCACAATAAAGAATTGAAACATATGCACGAAATGAACGATATTCAGGTGGTATACTAAAAGTATAAAACTAATACATGGAGAAAATGTATGACATAGATGAATACAATGTAATAAGTTTGGGTGAGTTTTCGACAATGATTTTTAGTCTAACGAAAAAGTCATGCTCCTTTGTATTATCTTAGAAACAGATCTTGTTCAGTATTTTTCTTCGAAAATGTAATCATACAAAATGAAAAATCCAGATTTCGGTATAGTCGAAATATATGTGATAGGTGTTTTTAAGAGCTTAACTATAGTTTTGTCTTTAGTTAATGTATCTGACATGTTGTTTCGAATATTAAGTTGATTTTAAATAGAGTGATGCTACAGCGTATGTCATAGATCATATGTAGATTCCAAATAATGAGTCTACCCTAGTAGTGCCGCCCTCAGCTTTATGTAACTCCGAATGAACCCTGCCGATGAATTTTAATGTAATTGCGTGTTCCATTAGAAAACAATGCTCTAATCGGAAAATTGAGGTTCATTTCTTATCCTTCCATCGCTATCGCTTTAGATTCGCTGTTGTCATCGCTCACACACATCCTACACTCCACACTACATAGTTAAATTCGCCCCACACTTGTCCTTCAAAATTACGAAATAATTCAAAATTTTATCATATTGTTACATTTATCACTAGCGGAGTCAAAAATGAACCCGGCTGGTACTTATTCGGGGGTAATATCGACCAAATGCCTGATATAGTCATTCGAATTGAAATATATTTCATATTTGTTTGTTATGTAGAATATGTTTTGAAAAAGAAATATGCAACGAGCGATTTCTATTCAATTTACCTATCATCATTATCATCAAATAGATTTCTTCGATTTTTTGAATCAATTAACATATCATATGGATCTGTTTTTATATTAAGTTCTGCTTCACCGGTATCAGATAATTTCACATTATATAGAACAATTAATGTTCCACTTGAAGATGTAATTAAATTAAATTGTTTAAATAAATCATCAATTGTTTTAAATGGAGAATATTTTGTAATTAAATACATTTCAAGTTCATGTTTAGTTTTATCATATGTATATGTACGTGTCCCATTTATTTGTTCATTATCAGTATTTTCAATTGGTTGTTGAGTGATTAAATCAAAACAAGGCATTGGACACATTATTTGAGTTATATGTTCTTCTTGATGAAATGTTCGTGAAAGAAATAAACATGTACCAATATTATCTTTTTTTGTTAATAATATAAAATCATTTGATATACGCATAGCACCAGATTTTAAACCATTACCATATTGACCAATTTGATTAGAATCAAGCGTATGGCGTTTTCCGGATTTACCAAAAACAATTACATTGAACACATCGTCTAAAAACATATACATATGTCATTTTGAATAAAAATTATTTCAGTATTTCATCCGTATAAATATCACTTGTTTATTTGATGAAACGTACCGTAATGCATTCCACAACCATCATCCAAAAATGCCAAATAAAATCCTCCACGTAAAGATGGATCTTTTCGTGTATAAATATCAAGATTTGTTGCGCCAGCATCTCTTGAATTATCAACTAATTCAGCTAATGCACCAAAAAGAAATGTATGTGTAGTTGAATTTGTATGCAAATATTCAAAGCTTAATTGAGCTTTATTTAAACAATCGTATTGATTCATCATCATTATTATCTCATTCTTTTCGTTTTTATCAAAAAGAAAAAATAAGTAAATGAAGTGAAATTGAAACGAAATAAAATATTTTTTGTGATTACACAGAAAAAGAAAAAGAAAAGAAAATAAATGTGTAAAACATTATTACATTAAGCAAACATTGAAAGCAATGAAAAAATTGTTTTTTTTTGAAAAATATAAATCTGAATTTAATGCGAATGTTCAAGATCAAATACATATGCGGCTTTTTTATGCATGATTAACTGATTGTCGACAAAATAAAAACTATCTGACTTGGTTTCATTTGGATATTCAACCATTTCTTTAACTAGAAGAAAGAAAAGTTTTTTTTTATTGGATGAAAAATAATGAATTTAAATAATTACCTTGCTTGGCAGTGAATTCTGGCATTTCATAAATATGTTCAATTGAATTTCTTGTATTTGGTGGACAAAAACCAAAATCAAAATCAAATGATTTGATTAATTGATCACGAAAATAATGACGTTCAATCATTCGAAATGATTGTACTTCACGATCGCCTACTGTAAAATCGACTCTAAATTGAACAAAATGAAAAATTTATTCGTCAATATATGCAAAGAAGGATATTATTTTATAGTAAAACAGATATCAATTAATTTTACTTTCATATTGAACATATTTTTCTCTTGTTTTAACTCCTAACTTTATATCTACATAGTATTCTCATCCATTTCACCCCGAACTGTAGAGTAGCTATTAAAGAAAACTCAGTGTAGTTTAGACTTACAGAGCGCCGACTTGTTTAAGTTTGAGGAATGATGATGGAAAATGATATTGTACAAAACGACCAACCTCAAGTTCTTGATCATTATCTGGATCACCTCCATCTACTAATTTTGAGATTAAAATACAAAAAAATATAATAGAAGAAAAATTTATCATACCTTGTCCTCGTTCCACTTCAAAAAGTACCTTATTTGTTTTCATATCACGAATCCGAAAATGAACAAAATCAATTTTATATACATTTCTATCTGTTTCTGTTAAATAATCTACAATAAAAAACATAATAAAAAACTTTGCTTTTTTTTTCTCAACCCATTATTTACTATTTGTAGCTTTTCTTAATTTAAGAATATCACTAATTGTAATTGGTGTTTCTTTTTTTCTTAATTCTTCTTCCGTAATAGGGGCTTCATTTGATGTTATACTATTACTGGATGATTTACCAGAGTTTGTTTTTGATGAAATCAAAGTCGATGCCATCGGATAAAGAAATTTTCTCTAAATACAAGAAAAAGATAATGTATATTTTTTAACCGACAAAAAGGGTTATATATGTTTTATTTTTTTTTCTCAAAAGAACTGTACAATACGGTCTGTGCAAAGGAAGTCAAATACACCACCACAACAACAGCAACAACAACAAAAACAACAACAAAAAAAAAGAAAAGAAAACAAACGAAAGAAGAAGAACATGATTTTCTTAACATTCACATACAATGAAAACTCTAGGAACTTAATTTTCTTATTCTTTCTTACCAGTAATCTAAGAAAAGAAAAAAAAGAAACGGAAATAAACAATGCAATAAATTGTATATGTAGGTGTTTTTTTTTTCAGAAAGATAAATAAACAAAACGAAGAAAATGAATAGTTAATCGCAGCAACACATTTTTAAAATAAATATGTGCGCATGCATATCAATGAAATTACACAACAAAACGGATAAAAATAGAAAAGACAAAAACAAAAGACAATGTTTTTTTTTGTAATATATTTAGTTTAATGATCAACTATCGATGCAGTTGCTGCCGTTAAAATTCGCACCGGCCTAGAAAAAGAAATTTTAAGTCTTATTTGAATAACAAAATAGAAAGAAGATCAAAAATTTAAACATTGATAAGAGTAATATTTTCTTAAAATACTTAGACATGAATGAAGTATACTTGTAAATTAATTATAAATCTATTTTTATCATTTTTCTTAAGGAATAAATAGATGAGTATGTAAAGATATCTTCATAAGAGGTATTACTTCAATATTAGACTACATTTAGTAATATCTATTCCTTTTTGATTGAACTTACTATGCAAAAACAAGAGTAGATTATATAATTACATTAGAATTCTTTTTTTAATATCATAAAACTATGTAGATTTATATTCTTTTTTCCAGTATGAAATCGAACAGTTACTCGGATATGAAGAAGTGTTTGTAAAACAATTATACTTGAAGTGAAAACTTATTTCCCGAATATGATATTTACTTTAAAAGTGACAATATCATTAAAGCAATGCATGAGTATACAAGCTATACTATTTTATAAATTCTCTCATTAAAAATAACCTAGATATTCTAACAATCTACTCTTTTGTCGGGAATAGAGATGTGCGTGACCGGAACCGGAACCTACATTTGAATTCGGGGCTATATAATAACCTTATTCAAGAAAAATGAACCAAAAAGTGCTAATCGTCGACTAAACAAATTGAAAAACGAGTATTGAAGAATAACTTCAGAAATTCTATGACTAATTTTCGATTAATTGTCTCTAGGACCATATTAGAGATGAGCGTGACCAGTTTTGATCACAGTCTCAGTCTCGGTTACCGAAATCGGGACCAAATAAAAATATTTACCGGGACTATAATCGGGACCGGGGCCTAAAAAGGTTGGTCCCGCACATCTCTAGTCGGAAAGTATATTTCAATATCATCCATTGCAGCTCAAACATCATCATTTTAGGTTTCTATTACACTAAAAGTATAAACATTAATTCGTAACAACAGTTCTTCTGTTTATATCAATAGTTCATATGTATCCATCTTTAAATCTGACTGTAATCAATTTGATATATTTTCTCGTTTGTAAAGAATTTCAGTATTTTTCAAGATAAGTATTGGAAAGAAGTACAAAAGCGAGTTCTTTCAATTATGAACAAAATACTTCTAACTCATCAACGATTAAATCTATAGAAATTGTTAAACAAACTCGAAAGAAAATCTATGACAATATTTTAACATAGTGTATGATTAGATGTATGATGATAAAACATACTTGATGACACCATCTGTCGATTCATTAGATGCAGTTGATTTAGTTCGAGGAACATGTTGTTCTTTTTCAACAACTTCCTCAATATGTTTTTCTAATTCAGCAATTTTTGGATCACGCTCATCACGTGGTTTACCTAAATATATATATGTATATATCTCATATAGAATTTGTTGATATAATGAAAATAATATTATATTTACCAACACCAAAAATATTTGAATTTCTTGCGCCTGGTTCCGGTGTTGGATTATCATCGGTTGATGATGAAAGTTTTTGTGAACGAGGTAATAATTGTAAACGTGGTCGATTTTCTATATATATATAATTAAAATAGATTTAAAAAGAAAAAAAGAAATGAGAAATTTACCAGCTGCTACAGAACTATTATCAACATCCGGTAAAGTTTCACTATTTCCCTTTCGGATACGTCCACTATTATCAGGATAACTTCGACTATTATTTGACCGATTGGAATTTAATCGTTGTCGATTAGTATTCGTATTGTTATTATTATTATTCACATGATATGACAAACCCATGTGAAGTGGAGGAGGAGGTGCTTGTTGATGATGATAAAATTGTTGCGCTTGATTAGAATATTGAGGTGAAAATTGATTGTAATAACCGCGTCCACCTGACATTTGTGGTGCTCCTCCACCACGGTGATAATTTCCATTATTACGACCACGAACGGATTGATTACCACTCATTGGACGTGATGATGACTGTTGATTTGTACGTGGTTTAGGATTTTTATTGCGAACAACCTAGATAGAAAAAAATACGATTTTTCATTATTTACTTTTGAAATTAAACAAATATTTTTACTTGAAAATCATCACCGCCATATGCATTAGTAGCACTTGGTGGTGGTGATGGTTCAGTAACAGTTTCATCAATTGGGCAATCAGCCCAATTACGACTTTGTTGTCGAACTATTGTTGTACTTCCATGATCAGTACCATCTTCATTCGATGTTGGAGTATCAGGTGCAACAAAAACATCATCATTCGAAGCTTTACGTGGTGGAGTTTTATTCTGTTGAGTATGACTATTACGACGTTCATTAGTTCTACCTGAACCTGATGTACGACGTGGACGTTCAGTATAATATCCTACAATAGAACAATAACAAAAAAATTAATAGATCGTTATAATCTTACCATCAGTATAACCTTCTTCAACATTTTCGGAAACTTCTTGTTGACGATAATTATTAGTATTTCGGCCACCTTGATGTAATCCATTATTACTATTTCCTGATGGATGACGACGACCATCACGTGATTCAAAACCAGCTAGAAAAATAAATATATATATTAAAATTTCTTATGTAGAGAGAATGAAAAGCTATGGTTATTTCTATTTTACTTGGTTTATATATTTATAAAAAAATAAGAATTTTCTTATCTTTTACTAACGTCATACCAGAAGTAATTCTTCAATATCGTATAATAAGATTAATAAGAGACTTTATTCAATGTTCACTGTTAGTAAAGGAAGTGTCCTACGTTCCAGTGATATTTTAATTATATTCAACTACTAATAGAATTTTAATAAGAAACTGTTTCCTACGACAAATGACAGCTACATAAATTATAATGTCAAAAAAATATATGTAAGTAAATTTTTAGAAATAATAAGATATTTTCTTTAAAGTTTTGACGGCGGGTTTATTTTTTTGAAATAACTGATAATTAATTTCATTTATCAATCGAGATCTATTGCAAGTATGTATATAATCTGCAATATGAGACAAAACGATAAATAGATAGCTGATATCTAGAGAACTAAATAACTTCTAGATCGATGACGCATATATGCGTCATCCGTCTTCAACGAGTTGACTAATTGAAAATCATATCATATACTATTCGATTTAGCTTCATTTCCTTTTCCAACAGTGAAAAATATAGTTTTCTATTGAATTTATTGACAAAAACATTTGTCTTTTTTCTAATCGAAATTTTATTATCGTATTTTAAATTGATTGATAATTAAATATTAATGAAATATAGTACATGTGTTTTACTTGCAGTTTATATTGGATCTAAACTTTCTAAATTAGTATACGATATTGAAGCATCATTATTGTAACTTTTAGTATATGCTGTATCATTAATAGAATAGCCATAAATTTCTCTCATTGAAATACAATTTCAAGCAAGATTTGTATGATAAGTAAAGATCAAAGAAATACTGGGTTCTTAACTTTGTAGATGTGTAATTAGATCACATACTGGGACAGCATATACTAAATGTCAATACTGCATATTAATATCTCTCGTGTGTATCTCTATAACTATCATATGAATTCATTGTTATTTAATAGCGCTCTAGATTAGATAAAAATCATTAAAATTCAACTTATTATGTACTTTATGATACGAACAAGTCAAATGGTATCAATACAATACTAGAAACTCTTATAACAGTCATATGAGAATGTCTCCATAATATTTATATATTTCGAATAAACTTCTACAGTTGACATTTGGTAATATAATTCTTTTTCGGATAGGGATATTCACTCTATACGATAGAAATATGAGAATTAAATAATTACGTTTATTTCGAAATCCTTCAGATTTTATTGCACCTAATGGTCGAGCCGCAACATCAATACGAATTGAACGATCATTAATACACTAAAATAAATATTTCATAGAAAATTTTGTATTTCGTCTTTTATTTACATACTGTTCCATCTAATTCAATAGCACGACGTAATGATTCTGCATCGTCAAAATCAACATAAGCAAAACCTTTAAATTAAATCAAAAATAATTTCAATCAAAAATATATACAAAATTCTATTACCTCGAAATCGATCGGTTTGTCGATCACGTACTAATCGAACTTGTTTAATTTTTAATCCAACAAATAAATGATTTTCAAAATCACCTTGAACCATTGTATCAGGTGCATTACCAATATAAGCTGTAAACGGAGGTTCAGTTGGTACTACATGATTCCGTGGTGCACCACCGCCGCCGCCGCCGCCTCGTTGATTGGCATATCTAAATAATTAATTTTTTCTTATTAATTAATCATTCACTCAATGACAAATGTTTTCTTACCCATATGTATTATAATTATCATGTTGATTACGTTTTGAATCTCTGCTAGGCATAGTCTATATAAAGACCCAAACAATAAGTGTTCGGGTCCAAATAAAATAAGGAAGAAAAAATGAAAAGTTTTTGTCTAAAAAAAACAAATAAACGAAAAAAAAAGAAGTCATTGTTAAAGTTCTTTTTGTTTGTTTCATGTTCACGTTTAGAAAAAAAGAAAAAAAAAGATGAAAACCTAAACAGTCCAACAGAAGAGAACGACGAAAGAAGTCTGGATTTACATAGAAAAAAAAGAAAAAAACCGAATGAACGACAATAAGGCGTTTTATATGTTTATATGAGACAGAGAGTAATGCAAACTTAATGTAAAAAAAAACGATGCAGCAGCAATAAACGACAAGATTAACGGATAGAAATGGGCTGTGCCCAATGTGAGAATAAGGATCAAATCACAGTTACAAGTTAGAGACACACGCACACGTTAGTAATAATAGCAGCAATAGTGAAAGAAGAAAAAAAAATGTTCGATAAGTCGTTTATTTTTATTGAAATGGACGTTGTTGACCTTGTTGATTATTATAAACATTACCACTAGTACGTTGTTGTTGTTGCTGTTGTTGTTTATTCACACCTTGTTGTTGACCTGCAGATTGTTGTGGAACATGTTGTGGTTGATTAGGCTGTTGATACATATATTGTCCTTCTTTATTCGATGATGATGAACCGCGACCATGATAATAATCATCATTACCCCCAATACCTGCTGATGAATTATTTTGATTATATTGTTGTCCTTGTTGCTTTGGTGCTTGTTGCTGTTGTTGTTGTTGAGTCATTGCTGTAGGTGCTGGAGCATACATAATTTGAGGACCTTAAAAAGAAATAGAGAATATTATAATATATATATTATCAATACCAACAGAGACCAAACAAAGATATATGAGCTTACGATCTTATACAAAGATCGATCATCAGTAAACATTTAATTACGTTTTCTTTCTAGTTGCATTTTGATCTATATCGATAATTAACTATTTATCTATATAGTTATGATAAGTTAATGTAATAAAAGACAATTTTGAATTATGATGATATTGATCTAAGAGGTATGCATTCTATATCAATCGTAAAGGTGATCTAGATATAGATTTATATGATGAATTAACTTTAATGATTCATTCAATCTATTTTTAACCTTCATACAAGGTCAAAAATTTTCCATGCTACAGATCAATTCGTAATTTTAATAAATTAAACGAATGTAATTTACGTTCTTTTTTTCTGCTCTATTTATTCTCTTTCAATCATAGATATATTTTATCCATATTTTCAATTCTTTCTTTGATAATTAATAGTTTTTAATTTCAATAATCGGGATTGGAGTATTTGGCTAATAATGTCTGTAAATATCTTCTGGATATTTTTCTTTTCTGAAAACTCAAGTAGTACATACATCTGTTTACTAATTAATCTATTAAATATTTATTAACCTTGTCATAGTAAAAATTATTTCCAGAGATATCTACTATTTCAAAACTCTCATTGTTTAGATAAAATAAATTTTCAATTCATATAGAACATAAACTGAGGAAAAACTATTTCATGCAATGTACCAGGTGAATAACTTGATCCACTTGGTGGATGACCAAGAAAATAATTTAATTGTGCTGGTGAATGTGTTGCTGCTTGTTGACCATGCTGTTGACTAGTCGATTGTTGAAGAGCATATTGTTGATATTGTTGTAATAACATAAGATTTTCTGTTATTGGTGCTCGAAAACTAATGAAAGAGAAGGATTATTTTAAAAATTAGTCTTTCCCTATTTTAATATTTTTATACTTCATTGTTTTATTGTCATTATTATTTGTTTGTTGTTGTTGTTGATTCTGTTGTGGAACTGGTGGTGTAACAGATCCATATCCACCTGAAGGTGATTGTGCTTGTTGTGCATTTGTTAATGGCATAAATGCATTTGAAAATAAATGCTCAGCATCATATGGTGTTGAATATGTTGGTCCACCTGTTTGTTGTTGAACTCCATATGCTGTTGAATAAGTTGCTTGTGTAAGTGGTGGTGGTTGTGCTGTAGGAGGAAATATTCCTGGTGGTACAGCTGGTGCTTTTTTCGTAGTTGTCGATGATGTTGATGTTGATACTGATGGTGTTTGTACATTTTTAGTTGTTGTTTGTTGTGGAGGTGCTTGTTGAGAAACTAAATAACGTGGTTGAGTTTGTTGTTGTGGTGGTGGTTGATTCATTGCTGCAGCCATAAAATATGGTGTATTGAATTCAATTGATGGTAATGAAAATGTTGTTGGATCATATGGTGTATCTAATGTTACAGGCTAAAGAAAATAGAAAATATAATGAATTTTTGAAAAGAAATGCTCTTTGTTATTTATTTGTATTTACTTCTGGTTGTTGTTGTGGATGATGAAAAAGTAAAGATTGTAATAACATATTTGGTGTATTTACTTGATGCTGTTGTTGATGTACAGCATATTGTGGTGTAACAACTGGTTTTATAGTCATAGATGGTTGTTGAATTTGAGTTAATAGGATACGTTGTTGATTCATAACCGGTTGTTCAGATGGACGAGTTGCTGGTGAAATATGTGATGACTGTTCAGTTGTTCGTTGAGAGATTTTGTTCGATGATGCTGAGTCTGTTTGTTGATAAAATGCAGATGATCCTGATTCATCATATGTATCACTTAGATTACCAAATTGTACATCAATTTTATTCACTCCACCATCATAATGATCAGAGAATATAACTGGTTGATGTGGAATTCGAGGTGTTGGTGGTGGTGGTGTTACTTTGGTATTTATTGTTTGACCTGTTGGTTTCGATTTTTGATGTTGATCTGTTATTAATGTTTTAGGTGTCTGACCAATACCAATAACATTTTTAATCTGACGAGCTGCTTCTATTGGATCAAAATCAGATTTAGATTTATCTTGATTAGTTCTATCCGATTGACCATTTTGTACTATAAATTAAAAGATTAATATTAAAAAGAAAAGAAAAGAAATTCTTAATACCAGCTGATGACTCATCTGTATCTATTGTTTGTTCATCATCTTTATTTGTTCTTGAAATAATAAGTGTTTCACCATTCCAATTACCAACATCCCATTGCTCTTGTCTAGAAGTGCCAGCAGCACCTCTATTGCGTCGTGTAGTATCTGACGGTGATGATGTATCACCATTTGAATCTTGTGTTTGTTGCTGGTTTTGTTGTTGATTTTGTTGTTGTTGATAATTTCTATCATTACCACGAAATCCACCTCGATTATTACCACGATAACGACCACGATATCCACTACCACCTCGTTGTCTTTGTTGTGGAATATCATTATCGTTTTGCTGTTGTTGTGGTTGCTGTTGATTATTCACATTTTGAGAATCACCTCCGTTCTGTTGAAATCTTGCACGTCCACCACGAGATTTACCTCGAGAAGTTGAAGTATCTAAAAAAACGAAATAATTTTTTTTTTCACAAAAATATTACATTTATTCAATTTACTATTTCCTCGTTGTTGTCCATTCTCATTCGACTCTTCATGTCCATTTTTAGTAGCAGCAACTTTTTGTTGTTGTTGTTGTTGTTGTTTTTTACTTAATTTATGACTTGTTGCTGTACGCCATTCACTTGCAACATCATGACCTTTTTCAATGAGCAATGCAACAGCTTTTTCATAATCATAATCACAATCAAATAGTGCTACAAGGGCATCTTCTTGATTGGAATTTTCTACGACGTCAAGGACTTTTCGAATTATTTCTTGTACTTCTGGTTGATTATGTTTTGTATCGTCAATTAATTGAGCAAGACGAATTTGTTCTTGAGTTGGTTGGTGATGCTGCGTGCTCACGGCAGCACCGGCCGTCGCAACGCTCATTCTTCTATATTAACAGAGGGGTAATAAGATATAAAGGTGGAAATATTATTTCTAGAATAGAATATAGAGAATAGAATCTATTTTAGATATTTTATTTAAAAAAAAAATTATAAAATAGAACAATATTAAATAAAAAACAGTATATCGAACAAACATTATGATTTCTTCTTCGTTTCTAATTAGAAGAGATTTAATTCCATAGTTTATCGTCTGATCGCCATTTATATTTTACCTAGACTCCCATACTTATCATCAAAATAATACTGATATAAACAAAAAACAATTGGAGTTTTCTTTTTAGAAAAAAATTATTTTATTTAAAAGTTTTATTGATAAAAAAAAATGATTAATTTAACTTTAAAAACATTCATTAATTAGAATAGATATACTTATTTTAAATAAAACATAGATGTCAGTATAGGCAATTTACTAACTAAGATAGGGGATGAAGTGTTCTGTTTAAACACCAATAATTACTCTCATTCTTAAGAGATACTATTCATATAGATAGGAAGATGATTGTTCGTATGTCATTCATATGCGCAATGACAATCTATGAGGTTTCTTCTTATTATCATACTGTTAAATTAGTAATAATGCAAAAAAGAAATTTTAGAGACAATGTGCAATCATTTCTATAACTTATCTATAAAAAATACAAAGAAGTTTATATAAAATGCTAATATTTAATATAATTATTTATAGAAAATATTCTTAGTTTCTAATGAATGAAATATTATACATTTCAAAAGATTCTTTAATACATAAAGTTTAACAATTATTCTAAATATCTGAACTTTTTTATAATATCAACTAATCTCATCTTTAGTAGAACTTACAACAATATACTATTTCGATCAGTGTAGTATACTCACTTATATCCTAGTATAATATCATAAATAAGAACGTCTAGTTTGTAAAAACGTTTCAAGAAAATGTGATATAGAATAAAACGTTTAGCACCACATGTAAATGCTTTTTTTTTATTTTTATCTACATACAAAATCATATGGTACATCATTATAGAAATATCCATTATTTCTCGTAGACAAATTTCTTACAATTCTATTTTCGAATGTATCTAATTCTACGAAAAAGTTTCACAATTTTGTAATTAGTTCAGTATTTCACTTTATTGAAAAATGAATATTTGAATAAATAAATTTCCGTTGAATATCAAGTCAAAATTACTTATGTCTTACATATTTATTCAAGTTAATAACTTTTCTATTGATATTAAGTTATTTTTAAGTAAAAATGACATTTATTATATATGTAAAATGTCATTGAAAATCTACTGTCTTACTATAGGAAACAATCTATGGTACTCCTCGTTTCCTATCATCAATAAGCATCTGTACATTATTTTGTATAAAATAAATAATGAAAATTTAACTGAAACATATTAGAAAATTTGTATGTTAAGTAATTATGCATGCAGAGAACATGCGTGTAAAATCAATACTTGTTTCTTTTATATTGCTTTATGTTCAGTAATCCAAGGACTTCAGCATTGTAGTATCTTCATTCATATGCATTATATTTTTTTCTCTTCTTCTTCTATGTATGTGTACATTTACCTTCTTGCTTCATTCCTAATATTATAATAGAACACGAAACGTAGTATATTTTATCATTCAATAAGAATATAGAAATGCATTAGAAACAAAAACTAAACATTATTGATTTCATATTTAGTTCAGTGAGAACAACTGGAAAACATGCAAGAATTTTAGGTAGTTCCTAAAAAAATTTGATTTGAAGTAGTGGTGCAACCAGAAACTTAACGATGATGGGGCCTAAACACTCAGCGATGGGGTTAAGCCCTATCTGGCCCCAGTGTAGTTACGCCACTAATCTGAATATTTACTATATACTATTACAAAAATTATTTCAATAGACATCAATATCTCATTTTATACACCATGTAGCTGACCTGCAGTAATATATACATCACCTCTGTTATCAGATAGTAATCTCTTCATTCAATAGTAAAAGTAAACAAATCAAATTCTCTTAAACTTTTGTTATTATTAACTGTATATTTGATCTTACATCTTGATGATTAGATACACAAGAATAGAATGATATATATAGAACAATACGAAGCATGATTGAGGCTATATATGAAAACAACGAAAAATTATTTCGTTTTCATCGATCATTACACTTCACTTCAGAGATACAGTTTGCAACTGAAGTGTCAATCTTTAGTATGTAGTGGACAAGAATAGAAGTTGAATATCACATAAAGTGTCGTTAATATTCATAATTTTGTATCTATCGTATATAAATTGGAATTTATTCAGTATAGCAAGTAAATATATTGAACACACACAAAAACAATAGTAAAAAAAAGCAAGAGGTCACATTAATTTGTATTCGTCATTTCTGTTGGTAATGTATTATTACTCCCTGTTGTGTCAAGTACAACATCAGGTTGTTTTTCAATAATTGATAAATTACTTGGACAAGATGAAGCAATATTATTAATAGTATTCGTTGATGTTTGACGTAAAAGTGATGATGAAAGAAGTGAAATAGGTTTTGTTGGTGATAAAGCTTTTCGAACAAGCATTGTTGCTTGTGCAGCTTCATTTTGTTTAGCTCGGCTCATTGCACTAATAACAGCTGCTCGATCGATTTCACGTTGATCAGGCATTTGTCCATCTAACCAAACCTAAATATTCAAAATAGAAAAAAACATACGAATCTTATTCAAGAAAGTTTTTACATCTTTTGCTCGATTATAAAAAACAGCAAATACACGTATACGATAATCAACAATACGTGTTAATGGATTATTTTTTAACCAAAGATTTTCTAAACATGGTAAACTTCCAAGTGATTCAATATTTTTAATTGAATCTAATTTATTTGAAGTTAAATTTAATGTTATTAATGAATACAAACGTGATAAACCATCAGTTGTTATTAATTCATTAAATGATAAATCTAATGAACGTATATTACCAACTCGAGCATTAAAATCTGAGACATCATGTAAACGATTATTTGATAAATTTAAATTTTGAAGAAAATGCAAATGCTGTAAATGATCTATACTAGTTTCTAATAGATTATAACTTAAATCTAACGATTCAGTTTTACAAAATAATTTCTATACGAAAAAATAAGAAATTTTACAATGAAATTTTTTTATATATAATAATACGTACCAATGATTCATCAAGAGAATGAAGAGAATTTTTACTTAAATCAAGATGAGTTACAAATTTCCATGTACTAATTAACCATTCATTTGATGATGGTGGAATTTCAGTAAGTGAACTTAATGCAATTTCCTAAATAATAAAATATTTATTGAACATTGATTTATATACGTAGTAGACAACAAATGTACTGAAACTCGGATAAGAATATTTCACTTATAATTCACCTGATAGTATCTGTTGAAAATAGACATGCGCAGGGTAGAGTACGGCGGTTATAAAAATTACCCAGAACCGCTGTTCCGGTCTGATTCTGGTCAGTAGAAATGAGAGAAGAGTGATTCTGGTTCGATTTTCGATTCCATTTTTTTAGAGCCGCCGTACCCTAGTGTAGAGTAAGCATTCACATTATCCTGCATCCTTTCAGAGTAAGATTCTAAGACCCTGACCTATCCCACCCTGTAGATCCGTTACTTTAACTCCTACCTTGCAGGGTAGGGATCCGTGCACATCTCTAGTTGAAAAGTACACGGTTAATTCTAACAAATAGAAATTAAGGCGAAGTACGAATAAGAGATATTTTACAATGTAAAATGTTAGCAAAAATATAGAAATATGTGTTTTACCGGTTTATAGTTTCATCTAATACTACAAGATCGAGTAAATACCTCAACTATTGCTAACCGATTCAGTTTGAAATCTCTGAACAGATTACAATTTTGTCGCATAATTGTATTGCTTAATTCTATTATAAAGTTCAGTATGACTTACTCGAATTGATGTTAGACTACGATGAATTGATAAATGCCGAACAGTTTTTTTAAGATTATCGATACCAGTTATTTGACTGGTTTGAACACAGTCAAGCTATATATGCATAAGAAATAAGAAATGATTTTATTTGGAAAAAAAGTGACATACTATAAGTTCTTCAACAGATTTAAAAAATGAAACATCAAATGAAAGAAATTGCGTTTTTATTGTACTTGTACCAAAATTATCAGGACTACCAATAATCTTTAAAAAAAATATATCAAGAGATTTTTTTAAATATTTTGTTTTATAGTCAATAACTAATTGCCTAAGTAATGGCAACATACTTGTACATACTTGACGTGACATAGGAAATCGAGAATATGACTTAGATCTTTCGCAGGATCATTACTATCTACAGAAATAATAATAAATAGATATATAAACCATAAACTAATTTGAAATTCATGTCCGAAAAAGATAAAGCATTGACTAATGATTATCTATGTAAACTTCTCGCATTTCATCAGTTAAATATTTACCACAAGGTGGTTCAGCTAATTTGATACGTCGAGTAATAGCATGCATTTGAAGTGGACTTATAGAAAAAGGTTTCTTTCCAGGAGCAGATAATATTTTATCACCATTTAAAAATAATTCTTCTGCTAATTTTCTTACAATACCATGAACTTCCTAAAAATAAATAAATAAATTGTTTATTTGAATAAAAAATCTAATTCTATTTACATAAAGATGAAAATCCAAAAAATTAACAAAACATTCAGGTAATTGTAATGAATTTATAGTAAAAAATTGAAATAAATATTTTAAATAATTATCTAATGCTAAACGTCTTCGATGAATAAAATCTGGTGAATTATTATTTAATAATTTTTTTGGTGGTAAACTTTTAACATCAATTGTTGGAATATGTTTTATTAATTCTTCATGAAAATCAGCAAATTCACTATAACGTTTTTTTACTTGCCAACGTATATCATCAAGACATATGTCAATTGTATATTCCTTAACATGAAAAAAAATATTCTTCAAAATTCAGTTGAGAGGGTTTTTTGTTTTCTTACAGTATATTTTTGATTCGTTTGAAAATTAGTTATTTGTATATCACGTCGATTACCTAATTGTGGCGATGTAAACCATAAAGCCATATTAGTTAATCTAAATATTTTAGAATTTTGTTTATGTATATGTGATGATCAATAAAGAATAATACAATAACAACAACAAACACTAATACATATATATATATATAAATACTCTCAAACAAACAAACAAACAAACAAACAAGAAGAAGCAGAATGCAAAGATTTTATGTTCATTTTTTTTCTCTCTGTCTTTATACGATAGTTGCTGTTGAAGAATTATTAGTATTAAGCGAAGATTTTTTTGATGATGGTTCAGTATCATTGTCAACTTGATCAAAAGAACGTTTTGTTGTTGTAGTTGTTGTTGTTGTTGTGGTAGTAGTTTCTTGTTGACAGATAGTTACAAATGAGATTGAAGAATTTGCAGAATTTCGTTTATAATCATTCGAAAGTAATGAAGAAGAATTTGTCGAATTAATAACACCAACTGCTGTACATAGTTGTTGTTCTTGGTCTTCAATTAATTTTTCAATCATATCACTAAATAGAGAAAATTTTTACAAATTTCTTTGCGACTTGATTAAATCTTCAAGTTTTTATCTCGTGTGATGATGACACTTTAATAGAACATTTACTTATCGTTCATCTTTCGGTAACCAGACAGAATGTCACAGGCGTATGGCTCAATGAGGGTGCATCGAATATCCGCATCTCACGTGCATACACTGTCGAACATCAAAGGTTTACTATCAATTCATTTTGAACCCTAAAATGAGCTGCGGCGTTCTGTCCTAGCGCTCGTTTATTATTAGATTTCATTTCTATTTCTGTAACTCTTATTCCATTCTTGCAGTTTACTATAACATCAAGCACAGCATCCCATTATTTCTCATCTCTTCCTTTATCCGATTCTCTTCTCACGAAACATCCGTGATTGAGAAATTAATTATAAGATGAGTATTGCTTTTGAACACCAAACCTTTTCTCTTAGTGATATTTTCTAAGTTTGTGCAGAGTGCTTTTTATCGGACTATAGTTGTACAATTTTTTTCTGAGAATCAAAGAGAACATACGTGACAGAAGTAATTGCATTAAGACGTTGTTGTTCTTCCATAAATGATTGATATCGTTCACTTTTTTTCCATTCATAATAGTAGTGAATAACTTCGCGAACATTTCGATTTGGACACTAGAAAAACAAAAGAGAATATTTTGTAATCTCATTTTTAAGAAAGCAAATGCAACTATTACTTTAAACACAGTTATTTTAAAAAAATTCTTTCCATATTCTCGTAACCCTTCTTCAAATTCTTTAATTTCATCGGATGACCATTCAGGATAAGAATCTAAATATTTTATTTTTAAATAATAAAACACAAAAAACAAATAAAATTCTTACAAATAGTTTTCACAGGTAATTGACGAAATTTAACAAGTGCTGATTCTGTATTCAATTGACAAGTGAGTAGATTTTGAAGTGATATTTCATCATCTGAATCGGGATCTTAAAAATAATATATAATAGAAAAAAAAAGAAACTAAATATTCACTAACATTCACTACGTATTGTTTTAAGATATTCATCAATATCTTCATTGTCGTTATCATTCAAAGAAGTTGGTGACCAAAGAAGTTCATCAACTGGTACTAAACGAGAGAAAAAAATAGACATTTACAACAATTTAGATTAATTTAACAGCATATTGAACTACTGAATCATTTCAAAAGACTGACATTTACATCTATATGGTCATTGCAAAAGAACATAAGATCAATGATTTATCAGTATTCTCCAAAGAAAAGTTATTACTTGTAATTTATTGATAGACAAACTCACATTAACAATTATTTTCATGAACATCTGTAATAATATTGTTTTAGAATATGTTGCATTTTTTATACTTTGAAAGACTGCTTAAATTATCTTTCTCCGCCATAGGAACAAACAAACGTTTATCTATATATGATGAGAAAACATTCAAATAAATTCATTATTCTAATAAACAATAACTAGACTTCATCTTTAAGTAAAACTACTTAATCTAATATACGATTTAATATACCCTCTCTATCGTCACAATGTCCATTTGTTAAATCATATTCAACTTGTAGTTCAACTTGTGCTTGATATGCATCACCAACATTGATCGACTAAACAAATAAATGAAATATTTTTCTTTTTGAACGAAACAAAAAAACAAACTTTAACAATTTCAGGCTCAAAAGAATCATCTGTATCATCACCATCATCATCATCTGGTAATAATTGTCCATTAACATGAAGTAAACGATGAAAATTAGGTCGATGATCAATTTCATCTTCATCGTCACCAGAAGAAGTATTTGACTAAAATATAAAAATTAAAAATAAGATTGACTTAAAATGTTATATTACTTTATCATTATTTTGTGAAATATTATGAACAGGTGGTGCATTTTGACCATATAATTTCAATAATTCATCCAAAGGCATATTTGCATCCTAAGTAAAAATGAACTAAAACTATGTTAATAATATAATCAAAGAATTCTTACAGCTTCTAAATCATCTAATTCATTTTGTTCCTCATCACTTCCGAGTTGTTCTTCTTCTTCAATAGTTCTTTCATCATCTTCTTCATCTTCATATCGAGCTTGATATTCATCATCATCTAAACAATATTATCTTTTAAAATTTTAAAATTTATTATCTAATTAACCTTTAATGGGTGGATCTGTCGCATTTGAAGCCATTTTGAAGGATTGAAAGACACAGAATAAGATAAGTCAATGTCTAGTTCATACAGTTTTTTGATTGGATAAATTTTAAAGCAATTACAATAGACATAGATGACAGTAGTAGCAACGAAGATATTCTAAAAATTCATCTTATGTAGCAATGCATGCTATTATTCATTTGATCGTTGATATCAGTAGCGAATCCAGGATTTTGGAAGGGGAGGAGGTGACTTTTTTTTGAGTATGGAGGGGCGATACCTGGGGGGGGAGCGATTTTGGCTAAAATCTATTTTTTGAGTCCAATCGAAGTAGTGTGAACTTATTTTTTCGTTCATTTTTGCTGTACAAAATCAAAAAAAATTCGGAAGGGGGGCCGCTCACCCCCCTAAATCTGCCACTGGTTGATATAGATATATCGAATGAATGCGATTGTTTGTTACAATACATATTAAAGTTATTGAATTTATTTAAAAAGAAGAAATAAGATAAAACATAAGAATTACATATTTAAATGAGAATAGTGACGACGATGAGCCAATATAATATTTTAGTGTAAATAGTTATCTAGCTTCCTCTTGAAGAGATCAATGATACTCATAATCATACTATTGGCACATTGAGGTACAAAAGATGATGAACACAGGTTGTAAACAAGTAAAAGAAAGGTGTAACTAAAATCGATTACAGAAGATGAATGGCTTATGATATTATAAGGTTCAATATTTTAGCACTTTTTTACCAGCGTATGAAAATTCTCGTTGTAATCAGAATTCCTGCAATTTATATGGATTATTTGTTTCTGTTAAATATTTATATATGTACTGTTTATTATATCTCTAATCGTTTTGCATGATATAATACTTTTAATGTTAAAATATAAATTCTAAATCGATGTTTATTTCTTTTCATGCTAGATTTAATCGAAAGAAATCTTAGTTGTTTATTAAGAACGTGTCTTTCAATCTATTGGTTTTGTCAATGAATATTTCTTTTTGAAAATGAAATAGAGCCAATTCTTGTTAAATGATTCGATAGGATAAATTCATTAATCGTTATCCGATAGAATATAAGAAATTAGCCCATTATGTCTATCTTTTTACTTCTATACCATAACCGTAAACAATAGAAGTGAAAACTATGTATCTGCCCTACCATCAAATACACTTTATACAATAGCCATTCGGTTTGAATTTATTGCTAATCTTTTCTATTCATAAAAAAGCAGTTACTATCAATAGACGACGTGCTAGATATATATCAATGATTTAGCTGAAAAATATCACGTACTGTTATTATTGGACAAAAATAGACTTTAGTTGTAGTATGTAGTAATCTATGATGGCATGACTCGTATTAATAAAGAAGAAATCAAATATAAATAAAAACGAAATGATGATAAAGTATAGATTATGTACAAACAATTGAAACATCTTATCAATCATCGCTTGTACATACATAACAATTAACGGGGAATTTATATAATACGATAGAATTTCTATAAAATCAAAAAAAATAACATTCGATGTTTGTAATTTGTCATCAATCAACGCGAGACATAAATTGAATATCGTCAAAAAGATTTTTGCTTATCGAACAAAACCAGACATCTTCAAACAATGTCTGGTACTAGTAGAAAAAATTTATGTGTAGTACTAAATTTTGTCTGTCTTATAAAAAACTTATTCTATCACGTATTACATATTCCCTTTTGTTTCTAATCAATGTTGACAATAAACAGTTTATCATCTTTTTTTTTGTTCTTTTCATTATCCTTAAAGAGATTTGACACATACCATATAGTTATTCGGTCATTTGAATTTATTTGTACTTCTTACTTAACATAAATTTAATTCATATGTATCCGTTTTTAATAGCCGAAACAAATTTAACTTTAAATGATACAATAGGTCCACTATTTACCTTAGGACCTACACTTGTTATTACTACTTCATTATGTATTGTTATTGGAACAATTTTTTCTATTTTATGTATAATAAACTATGTAACGCAACCTAGTTTGCGTACACATAACACTTACATAGTAAGTAAAATAAACAAAAACAAAAATTTTATTTCTTGTCTTTAATATTTATAGTTTTATTTTATGTTAATCTATTGTTTAATATCATCATTTATCAGTGGACCAATTTTTCTAATGGGTTATTATTTAAATCTTTTTCAAAATTCTATTTCTCTTTGTCAAACATCTACCATTCATTATTTAACAATTAATATTGGTATGGTTACATCATTAGCATATGCAAGTGTTGAACGACATTATTTAATTTTTCGTAAAAATGGTTTATTAACATGGACACGTCAATTATTTCCTGCTATTTGTATTCTAATCTATTCATATATTGTAGCAATTCTATTTACATTAATACCAACATGTACTTATACACCATGTCTTGGTTGTCATACAACGGAATTAAAATATATGATCCCATGGTTAACCATAAGTTTCTTTTTACCTCAACTTGTTATGATTATTTCAACTGTTTATTTAATAATACGTTTATATCAACAACGAGCAAATTTCAATAAAAGACCTGAATGGTCAGTTTTACAAAAGATTGTTGCACAAATGGCTGTTTATGTTATTTGGTCATGTCTTTATTATTGTCCAGTATCATTTTATAATTTAAGTTTAATTATTGATCCATCAAAATATTCTCCAGATCTTAAAACAGTTATGAATATTGTCAATACAGTTATTGTACAATCATATCCAATATTAACATTTATTTCTATGTTATTATGTACGCGACGTAAACAAGCACAACAAAAAAGAGACTCCGCATTGAAACTGAATAATCTATCGGCAATAACACCAGTACCAGCAAATGAAACACAAAATTAGATTTATTAAAAACATTACTAACATTTTATATATATATATATTCTTTACATTTCTTCTACTAAATAATAGAAAATATATAATCAAGCATGTGCGATTATGATAAACCAGCGAGAGAAGCAACTTTGTTATTGAATAATGTCCCCGCTAGGATTTTAAACTGAGACCTTCGCTTTACAAGAGCGATGCTCTAGGCCACTGAACTATAAGGACTTATTGAATATATGGCGCCATTTTCAACGCATGCATCTCTGTGAATATGACATTTATCACTTTAAATTTTCATCCTTTCTGAGATAATCTTCCCTGTATTAGTCGATGATTCAATGATTACCAAAATATTTTTTATTCTTAAAGCACAACAAGTTAAGATATTTCACTTATGCTTTGTATATAATGGAATGTTTGTTTATTTGATTCTTATTTCGAATATATCCTTTATCACACTCGTATCTTCATCTTATTCAGTTAAACATTCTCATTTTTTATTTATTATAAACCGTATACACTTCTTCTTGCTTCAATATGGGTAATAAACCATTACAAACCTATAGAAAAAAGGTCTTTTTTAATATAATTTTCATTTAAAATTTTATAACTATCTCTTTTTAGGAACCATCATTACGGGGTACTTATAGGGCTGATTCTGAAGTAGTAAAAGTAGCTTCATCACCATCGTTTTCATTAGCATCTGGTACTGCAACATTCTCATGTCTTGCTGCTGAACATCATCAAATACATGATCAAGAAACACTTGATCATTGGCGAGCAAAAGCATTGCAAACAATCGATGATCTATATGAACACAAGGCATCATTTTTAAGACGTGAAGCACATGTTAGAACTTTAGTAGGTCAATTAAGAGCATTCATGGATGATGAATTACCTCGTCATGGAAGTGGGTATTTTGTCGATGATCAACATGTACAACAGCTTCATATGTCTGTTAATAGTTCTCAAGCATGAACATTATTTTTATTTATACTTTTTCTTTTTCAACCATTTATTAAAAGAATAAATTACAGTAAAGTATAGATGAAAAAATATATTAGTCATAGGTATTTAAGCATTCATTATCTATTACTTCGTATTTTTGTGAAGCACATGATATGGATATTATAAACTGCAAAATATTTACTTTATCCTTCTAAGTTTATCACGATGAGAATAGCTGATTAAATTCAGTATTATTTAAAAACAAGTTTAGATTGGAATTTGTCATATCTAATAAAGTGATATCACGAATTCATACCATGTTAAAAATATAAATCTAATAAAATTATAATATTTTATATGTTGATAAATTTTGAATTCGAACACGTGGTCTATTATATATACTAATGTTCGAAATAAAGAAAACATACAATTACAATACTTCATGAGTATATATGTTAACGAAATTATATACATATTTATTTACTGTGTTTAACATAATAATAAAATAAATAAAAAAAAACGAGGTATCATGAAGACATAAAAAGTTTTCTACATCTTTCGAAATAGTTACAATATATTTGGAATAGAACATCTGTTATATATATAATTTTATTTGGATTAGTATGACTAGATTTTTCGTTTTATCCAGATTTTCTATTAATAAAATGAAGTAATCTGAAATGATTTGTGTCGCCCTCTCGAATCATGATTGTATGATTCAGTATATTTTTGCTCCTCTACTTGCTTAACGACACACTCAGCCACTTCACCTTTTCTTTCTTTTTCTACTTTTTCGTTTTTCTTAATATTATAAAAAAATCTACCTGTATATTTAAGATTAAACACCATATATACGCATATTCATATCATATACGCAATGCCGTTCTTTTTATCAGCCATGACTTACTCAAAATCTTGGTCACAAGAACAGCTTTCAATTCTTTATTTTCTCTTTTATAGTTCTGTTGCGTGCATACGTGTATATATATACATATGAATCATACTTCATTTTCGTACTGCTTTAGTTTTTAGCCTATATATTATAATTATACAGATCATAAACAAACCTGACTTAAAAGTGGGATGAGACTGATGTATATTCATCTCTTTCTTTCTTTTTCTTTTCATTTGAAAGGTTTAAACCAAGTCACAAGCGATACGATAGTGTAATAGGGGCATGTATATAGTGATTTGTTATCTTTATTTATTTAATATTATCGTTTTTTTTCGTTAAATATATCTTTAAAAATGAGTATAAAAGGATGATAAAGAAGCAACGTGATTCAAAACCATGAGAGATGTTAAAACAACAACAAGAAACACTTATACTTATGACAATTTCGCCTAAAGTAACAGTTTCAACGGTTTTTCTCTTTTAGAAAGAAACAGAAATTTTTTTTCTTCATTTCTACTAGTCTGTTTTTATTCAGTTTAGAATGGTAAAGTCATGAGTTTATTAGAAAATAGAGACGTTTTTCCTTTAATACCAGATGTATAAAAATACACGTTCACTTTTATTTTATAGGAATGTCAATATATGCATTGTTAGTTGACATCTATTAGATATATAACTAATGGATGTGAAAACAAAAAAAAATGATTTATACTGCATATATTTCATTTATCTTTTTGTGATTATTCATAAAGGAACTTCGACATAATCAAAATATATTTGTCTATTCGTATCTGATAGTCTATGATGCACGTGTTCTTTTTCTTCTTCTATTCATTTGTAATAGACACATATGAAAATATGTATGTCAGTTTTATCGTTCTATTTAAATTTTGAATATTTAGTTCGATGTCCTTTATGATAAATCTCTTGTAGATCTTAAATAATGATAAATAGTATAAAAGAAAAAACAGGCGCAGACATTCTTGAAATATTTTTTCCCCTTGCCAGGATTTCAAGGTTGAAAATATTGATAGAAAGAAATAGATAAAAGAATGTTCTAGGATAGATAAATGAGCTTGAACAAATAATTAGTGTTAGACGAGAAGAAAAAAGGATTAACATGATATTTTAGTGTTGAATTAGTGCATTTATTTTTATTTGATTACTAAAGTAGATTCTAGATGTAACACCTGTTATAGAGTTTCTATAGAGATTGTTTTTGTGTGTTATCGCTCTTCCTACTTTTATTTTCTTCCGCGAATGAGTAACAGCAGAACACTGTTTTTTTTTATAACTAAAGGTGATAGTGAGTAATACGAATAGCAACGCATCAGATTTTGCCACGTACTTCTGATCATATAATACGTTTTGACTTATGAGATAATTAGTATAATGATCATTATTAATATATCATTGGTATTTCTTTTTTTTTTATAGAAGAATGAATGTAATGAAGACTATAAATATTCCGCGTGTCTAAGGACAAATTTCTATAAAATATTTTCCCTTAATAATAAAGTATTTATTCTATATTTTTAGATGGCTGACGAAATATCTTCTTCTTCTTCTCAACTGAGTATCGTTGTTGATTTAACATCATCACCGTTCAATTTTAAATCACTCTATAGTAATCTTTCATCTCAATTACCCTTAAATTCTGATCATCATTATTGGCATTTTGGTGGTCTTCGTTTTTATACAATCCCATTTCAATCTAATTATGATGAAACAACTATCAATAATATTATATCAAAATTAAGATCCATACAAAATTCTCCAACTTTATTCCCACCATTTTGGATTTCATATAAAGAATGTCAACCACAAACAGATTCCTCATCTTCATCATCATCTGAGGTTATCAAAAAGAATCTTAAATTAGGGAAATTTCAAACTGACAATACTTTTCAAATAGAATATACATCAGGTTCACTTGTTCAACTAAATAAATATGTTTATGATCGACAAACAGAAATTAAAAATGGTTCATCTATACAATTTTATTATGATAGAATTGATTTTGATTATGGTGGTAGTGAAGAATTAAATTTGCGGAAAACATTTAAAGCTGAAATCATGGATAGATGTGCTGTTATAATGACTGAGCAAAATAGTTTTACATTATTTATTAATATGACTGGAAATTCAATCGATTATACAGGTACAATTAATGATAAGAAATTTAATCCACCACAACAAGGCTCTTTCTTTCATAAAACAACTGAACCAAATATTTCATATCGACGTACAGCATGTCAAGAGTCAAAACCATTTTATTCAACAATTCGTCTTGTTATTTCAATTCCAAATGATAAACTTAATGATGAAAATCGTGAAGAACAATATCGATGTTTAAAAGATTGTTATACAAGTTTCATAGAATTTTTTCATCGTAATCATATAAATGATTGTTTTGGTAATATTACAAGTGTAACATCAACAAAAGATTATATACCTACATTATCATCGTTTATGAATAATGAAACAATGTCATTTATTCAACAATATTGCTGGCAAATGTTATTATCTATTGGTTATCGATTTCAGCAAAGATTAACGGAAGGTTTTATTCGACATATGAATTTAATCAAAGATGATGATGAATTTTATCAGGTATATTAAATTCTATATCATACAATCAGTGACGGATTTAGGGAGAGGGGCAATGAGGGTGATCGCCACCCCTTCTGAATTTTTTCTTGATTTTTTATAGCAAAAATAGGTTCACACTACTTCGGCTGGACTCAAAAAATAGCTTTTAGCGAAAATCGCCCCCCTCTCTTCCAAAATCCTAGATCCGCCACTGCATACAATGTCTATCATAAATCTAGAGAAATGTTTGAATGCAAAATAAGATGCACAAAATTATTCCTATGTAAAAATTGAGTTACGAGTGTAGATGAAATATTTATAAGTTATTTCAGATGATGATATATTAACAGTAGTATGAGTTTGTAGATTAAATAGCATCATTATAATTCAGTATGTTTTAATTTTTTCTATTATTATTTAGACATCTCTTCATATATGGCGTCGTTCCAGTGAATATTATTTTATTGATTTACTTGCTGAGTTACATGGTTACCAACGAAAAATAGCTAATATATCACAATTAACATCTCCTATGGATAGTCGATATCAAGAATCAATGAAAGAAAAAAACGGTGAACAAGAACGTTGGAGTATACATACCCCACCATGTCATTATGCATATGTTCCATCAGTCACGTTAACACCAACAACAATCTGTGTTAAACCATTGAAATTAGTTAAAACGAATCGAGTTTTACGTGCAAAAGAACAATTTGGTGGACATCTTATGTTTGCTCTTGTTGATATAAAAGAAGAAAATTGTAGAACGGATATATTTCCACATGACTGTATGTTGAGAAAAATAATGATGATGAAATATTAGTTTATATCTTCTTCTTGTTATTATTTAGATCGTGCATTACGTAGTAAAACAGAAAAGTTACTTCAATATGGTTTTGATTTAGGTAAAAAAGGACGAACATATCGATATTTACATCATTCACAATCACAATTAAAAGACAAGCAGTTCTGGTTCTATTATCATGATGGCCAAACAAATTTTTCATTTGAAAAGGCATTTGCTTGGATGGGTGATTTTCAAGAAGAAAAAGTTGTTGCTAAACATGCAGCACGTATTGCACAATGTTTTACAAGTGCAGAAGCAACATTTAAAGTAAATAAAAAAATTTATATTCATTCTTTTTTCTTTATTTTTGAACTAATATAGATTCCATCAGAACAAGTTGAATATATTAAAGATATTCAAACAGATGATCATAAATATAATTTTACTGATGGTGTTGGAACAATGTCAACAGCTGTGCGTGATATGGTAAGATAATATTTTTTTTCTCAACTAATTGATTATTACTTTTGTTTTATAGATTGATCCACATCGAAAATTTGCAGCTATTCAAATTCGTTATGGTGGTTGTAAAGGTGTAATATCTGTTAATCCTGATTTAGATGATGCTCCTCATCAATTACGTATACGTAAATCAATGAAAAAATTCAATTGTGCACATGATATTCTTGAAATATGTCGAATATCTAAACCGAGTATATATTATTGCTTCTTTTTATCATTTTTTTATTCTACAATATCTTTATTCGATAGGACCATTATATTTAAATCGACAAATAATTGTTTTACTTTCTCATCGTTCTATTGACGATCGTAGATTTCTGATACTTCAAAATGAACATCAACAAGGTCTATCGGAATCTCTTGTGTATCCAGATCGTGCACATGAATTATTAGCTGAAAAATTAAATCGAAATTTATTTCCATTACGTTCATTAATCAATGATGCACATCTTAATTTAATTCAAGAACCATTTTTTCGTCAATTATTAATAGCAATTGGAAAAGTTGAATTAGCACAAATGAAAGAACGTACACGATTGAAATTACCTAAAAATTCTGCAAGAAATATGATTGGAATTGTTGATGAATATGGTGTATTAGAATATGGACAAGGTAGTAATTTTATTTTAAATAAAAATAAGATCATAAATTCGTTTTTTTGTATTTTAGTTTTTATTCAATATACAGAATTAAATGGAGATTATATGAATAATAATGATTCAGGAAAAGCAGTTATACTTCAACAAAACGTTGTTGTAACAAAAAATCCATGTCATCATCCAGGTGATATTCGAGTCTTTTCTGCTGTTGATGTACCACAATTAAGACATTTAAAAGATGTTATTGTTTTTCCTCAACGAGGAGAACGACCACATCCAAATGAAATTTCTGGTTCGGATCTTGATGGTGATGAATATGCTGTCATCTGGTATCCACCATTTATTCCAGAAACACCAAATGATATTCCATATGATTACGATTCACAAATTCCAATGTTACGTATTCCTGATCGTCCAGTTGAACGTTCAGATATTCAAAAAATTGTATTAGATATTAGTGAACAATCATGTGCTGGAAAATTATGTACAATTCATTTAGCTTATATGGATCTTTTCGGTGTTGCACATCCAAGTACATTAGCTATTGCTGGATATATATCCCAAGAATTAGATTCATCTAAAACAGGACATCATCCATTACAACCTAAAGAAATTATGCAACTACAATCAGTATTAGGAAATAAACGACCCGATTATTTTGATAAACCCTATCATGAACCTTATCCATCAAAACATATACTCGGTAAGATGACAAAGAAAGAAATTTCGTTAATGTATATATTTGAATTTTAGGTCAATTATTTCGTTCATGTCTTCGTTTCGAATCAAATTGGGAAACAGTTCAAACACCACCAACAACTGTATGTGAATCACCAATTGATCCATTACTTGTACATGATTTACATTATGAATTTACTACAGCTGTTAAAGAAATCGGACGTATATATCGTGAAGCTATTATGGATATCTTATATGTTTATCGTTTTTCATCTGATGTTGATTTACTTTGTCGATTTGATTCATCATTACAATATCGAACAACTTTATCTAAACAACAAACTGAATCAGCTTGTCTTATTGCTGATTCAGCACAAGTTGAATTAAAACAATTAATACGTCGTATACGTAAAATATTTTATGAAGATTTAAATTCATGTGATAAATCGAGTTCATATCGTTGTCATTCAAATTGTATACAATGTGCTGAAAGAAAAATGGCTAAAGCCAGTGCATTATACATATTTTGTTATACTGATACACAACATGCAAGACGAATGTTAAGTTTACCATGGTTATTTGCACCATTATTAATTAAAACACGACAATTAAATATAAAAAAACAAACAAAATTATGTAAGTTAATACCGAATTTTATCTCTCTTATTCTTATGAATTTTATTCTATAGTATCACCAATGTATGTTGCACAAATGCTTGAAATTCAACCATTTCGTTTAATTGGTCAATCTTTACGAAATGCAGTTCAACATTTAATTGATACAAAAGAATCCTTTTATTTTCAACATACATATTCATCTGAAACACCAACTACAGTTACTGTTACTCTTCGTCCAATATCATCGGTCAAGCGTCTTTTTCGAAAACTTGAATTACCACTAATTGATTATCTATTAATTGAAGTTTTTCATCATTATGTTTCTGATTCTCTATCGGAAGCTCGTTCACCAGTAACGACAGCAAAACCAGCACTTGTTACTTCAGTTTGGCAACATATTTTAACACGTTTTGTTCTTAATGAATGTTCACCATTACTTCTTTTAAAAGCAACGAATTCATCAAAAATAAAAGATTTATCATGTTGGTCAGATGAACAAGCATGCATGACATTACAACGTTTTATCGATATTAGTACTCAATGTGCTGATCATGGACCAAAATCAATTGATTATGGACATGCACATGAATATTTTGTTTCAATTCTTCAAAAAATGGCTACAACAGGTTCTCTATTTTCAAATTAAAGACTAAATTATTTTTCTTACATGTTATATCCAGTGATGACAATTAAATAAAGAGTTAATTTATCCTTTATTCGTTTTTTTTGCTATTGTCGGCATTTTCTCTTATTTTTATTCCAGAAAAAAAAACGAGTTCGAACAAATAAAACGAAAGATTTATAAAGTAATAATTGTAATTGTAGCATTTCTTTTGCTTATTTTATTTGAAATAAATGATTTAATAATAAAATAAAAGATATTATTCATTTTTATCGATCAACATTCGTATAAATCTTCCAGCAACATCTTTTTTTGATCCAAACCAGAAAGAAATAAAAGTAGGGTATGAATGTCAGTGCTCATAACTTTACCGCCATTCACACTCGCTTTATATATTCCTATGAAAACAAAAATATCAAGTTAAAATCAACATATTTTTTGATGTTTTGCTATCGATAAAATGTTGTGTCGACTAACAGCATCGTAGCATGAATCATTACATTTTGAAAAACTGAAACCTAGATTAATACTAGCATGGCCTGTCCACGTAAAACGTGATTCCGTCACGTCTTATTTTGTCATTATAAAGAAACGATTCAGTGTCGATGATTAAGTTCATTGACGATTTGGAAGAATCAGTCGTTTTAAAAAGTGTAACAGAATCATAACCGGTTACGTGGACAGGCTGAGTATGCATCTATTTTCATTTATCTCTACAGTCGAAAGAACGTGCCTTTATTTTTTATCTAACCAATTGATAGATAGTGATCATTGTTTAAAGAAGGTTCTAAATTTCAGATAAATTTAACTTGTAAAACACTGACTGTCAGTAGATCACAAGCTAATATCAGACTTATATTTGAATAAAAACATCTTTCTATTAATAGAATTAATTTAGATGATATACTTCGTATACTCATCAATACTTTTCTCTGATTCATAAAACATCAAACATATACATTTTGTATAATTTGATTAAAACAATTCATCATCGTATTCTTCTTTCTCACAGACCATGCAAAAAAATTCTTATAAAATATGATGATCGTGATTAAAATAAATACTGTATATTCGTTTTATGCACTATTTATTGATAAATACGATTTTCTTTTACATTTCTAACTAGGTAAATAATAGTATTTGAAGTTCTTTTGAATATAGTTTATAATTGTTGTTGTTCTTCTTCATCTTTATTTGCTGTTTATTCAGCATCACCTTCACTTGTTTTTGTTAAGAACCACATTTTACGACTACCAGCAGTTGATGAAGTTGTTACTGAAAAACCAGCACGTTCAAATGTTTCAATAATATGTGCAGCTGAATCAGTACATTGAACACCTTTCTCATGATCACATAATTTATCATTTGAACATGATTTTTGTAAAAGTGCAATAATTTCTGGTTGAACTTTATAATCACCAACACCTGTACTATGAACAATTGTTGGTCCCGATTGTTCTTCAGACTCTTCGCATGAAACTGTTAATGTTGAATGTAATGGTAAAGCCATAGGTTGTTGATGTTAGTTAAAAAGTAATAATAACTAGACCTTGAAAATAAATGTCTGTGTATGTGAGTTGAATAAATACGTCTTTATAGGGCAAGAAAGATAGAATATAGAGTATGTAAGTAAAAAAAATGGTAACCGAGGAGTGTAGAAAGAAAAAAGAGAGAAAGAAAAAGAGCAAAAAATAAAGGAGTAGATATTTTAGAGTAAAATATTTTTCGCATTTCTAACTAAATTATTATTCATAGAATAGTTCTTGAAAATATTATAATTGTATTCAATATGAAATTCTAAACTCTAAAAATGTGAAGAAATTTTAATTAAATATATTCTTTCGAATATAATAAGAGTTTCGTTAAGATTTCTCAAGTGTCAATAAAAATTTCTATATAACTATCGCTACGAATAAACTGGTTTTTATGACTACAGTCCACTGATTATTATTATCAAGAAGTCTTCGTTATTGTACATGAATTCTTTCTTATGTTAATCAGACTTTATAATCAACAAAAACTTATTTCAATAATTAGTGATTACATAACATTGGAGAAGAAATAATCATCAAGTTTAGACAGTATATAAAAAAAACAAAAGTGTTATTTAAATGATAAGACTCTATTTGCATTGAATGACTCAGTGATAATAGCAAGCATGGTTGATATAAAATAAAAACAAATGTTTTAGTCTTTCCTTTGTAATGGTTAGATAATATCTTTTGTAAGAATTTAATGATAGGATACTCTTGATTATGATGTTCTGAGGAAGTTTTTTTAAAGCAATCATGTTTATTCCGTTCATATCATATATATAGAGTATTGACGAAATAGGATAAATCTGTTTTTATTGTAATAAACATTTTCGAGTGATGATATATATATTCACAAAAAAAAAATAAACGATCAGTTTCGATTCTACTCAGCAACGAAAGTGTCCTAATACAACACATGGATATTATTCTTCAGTGTATCAAATATATTATACTGACATCAAGTAAATAGTAAAAAACCAAATGACACGTTCTATTCAATAAATAATTCGAATTTTTAATTGAAGTGGAATATATTCATCTTTCTGATGAATCTTTTGTTCTTGAATTAATAAATCGTTCTGGTAAAAACATTTTTATAAAAGTAACTGTGTTATT